AGGGAGGCAGGGAGGCAGGGAGGCAGGGAGGCAGGGAGGCAGGGAGGCAGGGAGGCAGGGAGAGGTGGGCCAAATTTCAAAACTTACTACAAAGCTGCAATAACCAGTACTGGTTTAAGGATAGACATGTAATCAATGGAACAGGATCAATAATCAAGAAATAAATCCTTACAATTATGGTCAATTACTTTCAACAAGGGGGCCAAGACAATACAGCAGGGAAAGAACAGTCTTTTGAACAAATGATGCTGGGACAAATGAGCACCAGCTTCTCACGGGGTGGTTTTCGCAGGCGTCGGTGCTTCTTACCTACACCCACCATTTCACAGCGAACTGCAAAACGGTGACTTTCTAACTATATCACCCCTTCTGCATTTTTTTGTCTAAACTTCTTCAATAAATAGAGATTGTCACCATTTCACACAGGAAAGGCAGGATAAAAGCATCGTTTATAAAGGTTCAGAACAAGTGTTCTGTCACCTTCACTGGTAACCATGAGAGTTGTTTTTGTTTTTTGCTGTCATTATGAACTCATGAATTTTCATTTACTTGATACAGGTCCTGTATCAGACATGAGTCTGCAAATACTTTCTCTGTCTGTGGCTTGTCATTCTCTTAACACTGTCTTTCAGAGCAGACGCTTTAAATTTTAATGAAGTTCTGCTTTTAATTTTTTCTTTCATGGATTGTGCTTTTGGTGATGTATCTAAAAACTCATCGCCAAACCCAAGGTCATCTAGATTTTCTCCCAAGTTTTCTTCCAGAAGTTTTATAGTTAATGTTTTACATTTAGGTCTTTCCNAATTACTTTTCTTCCCCCTCCCCCTCCCCCTTCCTTCCTTCCTTCCTTCCTTCCTTCCTTCCTTCCTTCCTTCCTTCCTTCCTTCCTTCCTTCCTTCTCTCTCTTGCTTTCTTTCTTTTCTTTCTTTTTTTCTTTCTTTCTCTATCTCTCCCTTCCTCCCTCTCTTTCTCTCTCTCTCTCTCTCTTTCTTTCTTTCCTGGAAGTTAATTTTTGTAAAAGGTGTAAGGCCTGTGTTTAGATTCAGTTTTTTGTGTGTAGATGTCCAGTTGTTTGAGTACCATTTGTTTAAAAGGCACTCTTTTCTCTTGGTGGGAATGTAAATTCGTGCAGTATGGAGGTTCCTCAAACAGTTAAAAATAGAGCTACCATATATGACCCAACAATCCCTCTTCTGAGTATCTACCCCCTAAAATTGAGAACATTTATTTGTAAAAATATATATACCCCTATGTTCACTGCATTACTTATAGTAGCCAAGACATGGAAGCCATCTGAATGTCCTCCGACGGACAACTGGATAAAGACGTGGTACATATATATAATGTAATAATACTCGGCCATTAAAAAAAAGATAAGCCCTAGAGGGTGTTGCTCAGTGGTTAGAGCATCCGCCTGCAGACTGAGGGGTCCCGGGTTCGATTCCTGCCCAGGGCACGTGCCTCAGCTGCAGGCTCAGTCTTGGCCCTAGTTGGGGCCCGTGTGGGAGGAACCAATCGATGCGTCTCTCTCATATCGAGGTCTCGCTCGCTCGCTCGCTCTCCCTTCCACTCTCTCTCAAAAATCAATGGAAAAAATATCCTCAGGTGAAGATTAAAAAAAAAAAAAGATAAAATCCTGCCATTTGCGACAACATGAAGTCCGATGGCAAAGGACAAGAACCACATGGTCTCACTCATATATGCAATTTAAAACAAAAAAGCAACAGATGAAGAAACGAAAGGAAAATAGCTCATAGATACAGACAACAGGACGGTGGTCACGAGGGGGCCAAGTGCAGGGCGGGCAAAGCCTGTTTACAGCTGTGAGTACACTCAACTCGCCGAGTTTCTCCTTGTAGTATTACTCACTTATTATTGCATTCTTTTCCATACAAACTGTAACCCTACTTTTGCGCCCCCACCCCCGATACGGTGACAAAAGGAGGCCGGACGTCGGGTGGCAGGCACGCCAGAGGACGCAGGCGCTGTACCCTGAAGCTGCACGCCTGGAAGTTACATCATGTGACTGGACACTGTTACCCCAGCGAACTTCATTTCTTAAAAAGAGATGTGTGGGCCAGGATCGCGACAGGAAAGCAGCCTCGCCCGGCCGGCCGGGGCTCGGCGCCGGAGCGTCCACCTGGGACCCAGGCGATCGGGGTGCGATTCCTGGTCAGGGCACAGGCCCGGTTTCGGGCTTGATCAATGACTCATCATTGACGTTTCTATCTCTCTCTCCCCTTCTTTCCTCTCTCTGAAATCAATAAAGATATATTTAAAAAAAGAAAAAAAGAAAGCAGCCTCCCCCTGGAGGCAGACACAGAGGCGGCCCGGGAGCTGGGGCGGGAGCCGCAGGTGGGCGGCGGGCCGGGCACCGGGCCCAGACAAAGCTCGAACAGACGGGAGCCGGGCGAAGGGCTGCCCGCCCCAAGGAAGCAACCAACCAACTGAAATGTGTAACTGAAACAGCATTTCTTTCACTTTGTTTTCGTAACCACACCTGGCCCTTCCCAGCAAGAGCGAGCGGTAGGAGGCCTGGCCCACACCTCTCCGCCTGCCGTCCCTGTCGCCCCTGTCCCCGGCCGCTCCCACGCGCCTCTTTCCCACTCTCGCCGTAGGAGCAGGTTTCCCTCCACTCTTTCCCCTGTGCACAAGCTTCATTATTGACATCTCTGTCACAGATGAGTGGCTACGACGTGTGCTCGTCGGGCCACATATTTCACACCACGTTTCCTGATTCACCGGCTGGCTCGTCCTACGCTTCCATTCATATTTTTTATAGTCACTTTTAACAAGAGTCAACCAGAGGATCCTCAAGTAACTGTAAATGCAAGTTTCAGAAGTATATAGCGCACACTTGAAACTGCCTGCTATTTCTTTCCCCCTGCACCAAACCTGACCTGCACCCAATCTGACAGAATGTTTCTGCTTTTATAAAACTGTGATGAAACTCAGTCACACGGAACCATATCGTATAAATGGATCTTCCTGAATAAATCACCCCTCTGAGTCTGGATTCTAGAGATCTCACTTTCTATGTTCAGACTTGAACATAAACCAAAAAAAAATCAGCTTTTTAACATTTCTAAAAGCATTAACAAATTAAACTCAAAACTCTACCTTATTTTCTGCAATTATTTAGTATTATGTTCTATATGTAATGCAAGCAACATCTTGAAAGCTCAAACTTGGCCTTTGCACCATTAGTGGCAAACAAGTGAGGACCCTCCCATCAACCACCATCCTGCACTCTACCTTAATTTGCCTGTGCTTGACAATCCAGTTATGTGGTTTCCCACGTACAGGAGAGGCAGGGGGAACAGCTTCAATAAAAAAGAAAGAATATTTGGTTAGAACTCCAATAACATATTTTCCTTCACATATATACATAAAGATGGTGACATCCGCTCCCCAGCAGTAAGCGAATACTNACTCCCCAGCAGTAAGCGAATATTTCTAAGTTCCTTCCCCTGCAATGACTGTGAATTGTCCACAACCCAACACACATTCACAAGTTTCTCTACATGATCAAAATAATTAGGTGGACATTGATATCCATAATCGTGGGGGAGCTGGATAGAAACAGAAATCTTGNATATCCATAATCATGAGGGAGCTGGATAGAAACAGAAATCTTGCCCTTGCCCATATTAATAGACTATGTTCCTAAAGGAAGGCTCTGGACAAGGACCTCTCTTGAGTAGAGACCCCTGGTTGGTGAGTTAAGGGTGGGTGTTTACAGCTTATGTGTGAGTTGAAAAGGCCGTGAAAGGGGTGTAAACTTCTATTATCTATCTGTGCATACAGGTTTACTGAGCTCTGAGCTCCTGAATAATTTTCTGATTGTCAGGAGATATATCGTTCAGAACATACTGAAGAAACAAAATGTAAGACCTAGTCTTCCTTACATGAAATAAATATATAACCTTTCATAAGGTCACACGATAACTTTTAACTGACGTATAGTCCACAGCAATCAAGGTGAGTCCAACATTTCTTTTTCCACTAAAAAGACATTAGGCATGTAACTCAGATAAGCTATCCTTTGAAAGGTTCTGAAATATTAAGTGTCGTGTGCCCAAAAGGAGTGACAGAATTCCATTATGCGGAGACGTGCACAAGAAAGACGACTTGAGGAAGGGAGGCTAACAGATCCAGGACCCTCCCCCTCCTTCCTCCACCTTCTGGTTAGCCGCCTGCAAGGGCCTCATCAGTGACGCAGCTGGGGACAGTACAACCTCGGAGGGTCTTAGGCACAGGAAAGAATCAGTTGCCTTCATTTCCACAACTAATTCACAATAAAAACAATTCTGACTTGTAGTTTCTGGTAACAGTGGGCTATTTATGCTAATCCTGCTGCTGGATGAAATAGCTTAAAACCTTCAGCAAAGCATTAAGAGGACAGGAAAAATAGAAATTCCCGGGCCAAAACTAACAGAACAGAAACCCAGAGCGAAACGACAGAAGCCAGAGGACAGCAGAATGGCATCTTCAAAATTCTGCCGAACTGGAACTTGGCCAACAAGAACAGCTTTCAAACACAAAGGGAACACCTAGGTTTCTTCAGACAAAAACTATGGGACTTCACCCCGGTAAATTCTAAAGGAGGAACTTCAATCAGGAGGAAAGTGTGAAGTAGGAGATAAAAATAGAAAAGCAAAGCAAAGGAAGCAGTAAATACATGGTGCGTGGGAGGCAGTTGGCCAGATGTGAGCAGGGCGGGGACAGCCGGCCAGGTGCAGAAGGTCACCAGGGTTGGCAGGCTGCTTCCAATATTTATACAGAAATGTGAAGGGCCAAGGGCAAGGAGGAAAGACACATGCTACCAGATAGCAAGACTTTTCCTAAAACTACAGAAATTAAGATTGTATGGTGATGGTGCAGAAAACACAGACAAATGAAAAGGCCAGAAACAGACCCGTGCGTATGTGGAAGACACCGCCATCCTGTAAGTGGCCGGATATTAAGGACAGACTTTTCAACTGAGTCTGTGACAACCGAGTGCCCATTTGGGGAAAAAATGAAATCAGACCATTACCTCACAAAAATAACCCCTTAATTCTGAAAAACTATCTACCATTTATCTAAAAAAATATCTTTAGACCTCAGAGTAGAGAAGGATTTCATAAAATGTGAAGTCCTGCAACCTCCTTAATAACCAGGGACATGCAAATAAAAGCCAAGATGATGTTTTTACACCCATACCAGATTAGCACAGTTTAAAGTGACTGACATACCAAGAACTGCCAAGAATAGGAGCAGCAGGAGTGCACTTTTGTCAGAAGTGTGAACTGGCACAACCACTTTGGAGAGAGTCACCTACTCAAGTTGAAGACACGCACACAGTAGGAGCCAACAGTTTCACTTCTTGATGCATCTCCCAGGGAAACTCAAGCACATGTGCTGTTTTGAACTGGATTGTGTGCCCTCAAAATTCATATTTTAAAGCCCTAACTCTCAGGTGCCTGTATCTGAAGCTAGAAGAGTTAGTTAATGTTAAATGATATCATGAGGGTGGAGCCCTAATTCAATAGGATCAGTGTCCTTATAAGAGGAAGAGACACCAGGAGTGCATGTTCACAGAGTAAAGGCCATGTGAGGAGAGAGCAAGAAGGCAGCTGTCTGCAAGCCACAGACAGAACCCTCACCAGAAACCAACTCACTCACACCTTGACCCTCAACTTCCGGCCTNGCTCGCACCTTGACCCTCAACTTCCGGCCTCCAGAACTGCGAGAAAATTAATTTCTGTTGTTTGAGCCACCCAGTCTGTGGTATTTTTATTACCGGACTGCTAGCTGAGATCCAACTATAAGTATGTTCAAAACAGTACTTTTTCTTTTTCTAGCTCCCAAACCAGAAACAACCCAAATTACCTTAAACAGTAAAGCAAATAAGTAAGTAAAAGAATACAGCTATACACTATGATGGTGGATGAATCTTACCATCATAATAGTAAGCGAAGACCCAAGATACAAAAGAAGACATGGAGTTTAATTCCCTTTACCTCATGCTCAAAAATAGGCACAACTAAACTACATAATTCAGGGATGCATACAAATTTAGAAAAATTACCCAAAAAGCAAGAAAATTATTATTACGAAAGTAAGAACTGTTGATAAGGAGGATTCTGTGATCCCATCTCACGACCGAGGCACTGATTACAGGGGTAAATGCTTACTGAGCTGTATGTTTCCATGCGAAGCCTTTTCCCCATGTACGGATCCTAGTCCACAATTTGAAAATGTTTAAAATGTTTTAAAATTACAATATATCATAAACAAAGTGTCAGCAAGCCCAACAACATTCTGATTATGGTGACTGGATTAGCATCTTTCGTATACTTCAGTATTTTTTCTCTTTCTGTGGATGTCCCTGGTGACTGACGCTGTGCCTGAGCCTGATGGATAACCCAGGGCCAGCAGCTTTCCAGGCCTCAGAGACACAGCAGTGAATAAGCCACGAGAGGGCCTCCCCCTAAGAAACTGACAGTCTGATCAGCCTCCCTAAATTCAAAAATATCACGATACTCCATTTACTACCACCTGTTCTATGGGGCTGCTCTGAGGATTCAATGCCTGGCCCAATGCCTGGCACCCAGATCTCTTCAGTAAGTTAGTTCATTCCACATTCCCAGGAAGAGATGGCAGGTCTCATGTTTCTAGTTCCACCATGGACAACACTGTGCCGTTTCTATGTATATCAAATTGTACTCTTCATTCCACTCATAGCTTTTGTCAATCCAAGCTAAAAATGAAAACTTAAAACAGGGATCTACAAACTAGGGCCCAAGAGCCAAATCTGACCCATCTCTTGTTTATGTAAATAAAGTTTTATTAGAACACAACTACACCAATGCATTCATGTATCACCTATGGCTGCTTTCATGGCACAGTGGAAGAGATGACTAGTTGCAACAGAGATGGTCTGGCCCACAAAACCTAAATATTTATTATCAGGACCTTTATTTATTATCTGATACAGGGCTTTGCCATTTCAGAAGACACAATATTTACGTAATGTCAATTGTTAAGCACATTTTTACTGTTATTACATTATAATGGACAACTGAATGGTATAAAATCTTAAGTTTCTACCTAGTTCAAGCAGGAAGCACAGAGTATATAGAAATGGACCTACACTCTAAGATCAATTTGTAATTCTGTAGTTTCTTCACATCTTCTGTCATAGCTATATGTACTTTTTATCGCATACCTTTACAGGAATTTTCTTATCAAAATCAGGGAACTGAATTATTTTATTTAGCTTGGACACATACAGTATCATTATGGTAGCTGCCATCTAAAAAAGAGGGAGAAAGAAACTTCAGCAAAATATCTGGACTGTTTGAAGTATAAAGACATTAGAAGAAAACAGATTCCTCAAAAGAAATATATCCAAAAAATTCATTTTCCAGGTTCCAAAAAATTATTTCTTATAATATTAAAATTGTTTTTCGTGCCACTGTATGGATTCCATCAGACCTATAGGCCAAAAGTATAACATCAAATAGACTCACCTATATGCACATTGTCTCAAGCGGCTTAAGGAATGGTGACAAAGGGGGAAAAGGAACAGTGTCCCCAAAACTGACCAGAGTGACCACAGTCAGTGAGGGCACATGATCCTGGACCACACTTTCCACATACTAAGCATGTGGTCACCATCCCCCATAAAGCCAGTGTGGGGGTAGGAGCAGGGAGGAAAACTCCACACAGAAACACACTTTTTTGTAAAGTCCAATATTTCTATAACACAAGAGGCAAATTAAGAGAAAACCAATTTTAAAGGAGATTTCTATTTCTCTCCAATCTCTCCAGTATTGCAAAAATGTCTCATTCAAATCCTATTAACCTGGAACACACCAGGTACATTAGTAAAATATTCCAGATTATTTATGAAATATAAAATTTTAATATCATCTTCCTATGCAAATTTTAGAACTTAATTTTCTCCATATTAGGATGCAAAAATTTAAAGACTCCTTCAACATGATTATAATCCTAAACCTTGGTCCCAGTAAGTTTACAAACTTAATACTTATGATAGAGTTATATGACTGGAACCCGTGCTGAATTATAATTGGGGTTTGTATTTATGACTTACTTTATAATTCTTACAGAAATATACTAACACTTATTTAAAATATTCTGTAATTCAGACTTTTAAAATTAGGTTTGCTGGCCTCTTCTCCCAACAAGTTAAAAATCAAAAAGACTTTACCTTAACTGAGTACAGCCAGTGATTTTATTTGCCTCATGGATTACAAAGGACAGATTATCACATATTCACTAATCTTTTAAAATGCTTTTTTATACATATTTTCACATTGAAACATAAAGATAACTTTTTTTTTTTTTACCTTAAGGAAATATATTGTTTCCTTGTTATTTTTTTCCCCTAACATGATGCTGTAAAGAGTACCTTATTAGCAAAACATGTAACCAGAACAATGTTTAATCATATAAATGACAGCTTTTCCAGATTCACAATTAAGACATTTAGTTAACAGATATAATTTCCATAATTTTATTTTTTTCTCCCTATACATTAAAGGAAGCTAGGACAAAAAAAAAAAAATCTCTGATGCCTGTTACCACTTGTCTCCTGGAAATCACCAGCGTATGACCAAAAAAATAAACAAGCCTCCAATTAACATTAATGGGAAATTTCAGGAACAGCCAAGCAGGTTAGTCTGAAAGTTTTACCAGCTCAACTTTATACCTGAGAACAAAAATCACAAGCCACAGGAAGCAAACATGTTCTGTTTGGCCCATAGAGAGTTTTGTGAAAACTGGAATCCACTGCCAGCATTTACAAATTGGGAGATCTAACGTAAAAATTCAAATTCCTGCTTCTCTCGAAAAACCTCTGGAGCTCTGATAACAGGGGCCTAGTGGGCCCCACCTCCTCTCTCCTGCAGAGGGGCTCAAACTGAGTGGCCAGCGCTCACCTCAGTGGGCAGCTATGCCCCGCGCCCCACCCCAGCCCCAGCCGTTCCTTTGTTACCCACCAGACACACCCTGCAGGCTTTCGTCTTCTGGCCCCTTGTTTTAAAGTAATTAAATTCCATTAAGGAAATTAAAATCAGTACTTGTTTTTCCTATAAATACACTGTTCCTAATTGTAATAAAATGTGTGTTATCCCATATTTTTTCACCAAGAGTACCATGATCAGATGGGTAAGTCTGTAAACCAGTCTTAAACAAAAGCACTTAAAATTGCATCATGTGTCATGACTTAATTAAGAGGTTAACTTTTTTTTCACTCACCTGTCCAACTGCAAGAACAATCGGTGACGGAAAACTACAAAAAAAATAGGTAACAAAAGATTTTAGCAACTCATAAAAATTTGAAGTCTGTAATACACACTGACAGGAGTTATTAAAAAGTCTCCAACTTTTTTTCCATCTTTGATGAAACCTTAACATCAAATCCGTTCCCTTTCTATCTGCTGATTTCTTCTTTGCTTTTCAAACTGATCGTTGCCAAGCCTGGCAAACTTTACTGCCCCTGAGGCGGACGGTCATTATATAGGAAGCCTAAGTAATCTGGGGATAAATTACTAGAATTAATGAATAACTTGAGCAAGATTACTGGATACAAGACAAATACATAAAAAATCCCTACATGCCAGAAACACACAAAGGAAATAGAAATTCTGAAGACATCATTTACACTGGCAGAAAAAGCACCAACTAACACTAACTGGCTGTTTTATGGCGTAAGGAATTATTTCTACATTTTCAGGTATGAAATGGTACTGGGTGGTTCGGTTCGGTTCCAAAGAGCTGCGGCCGTTTATCAGCGTCTAAGAGCCGGACAG